TCCATTTACACATAAAAAACAAAGATCGCCCGTCCACCTCCAATATGAAAAAGAAATTTGATATTTGACAATAACGAAAACAATAATAATAAATAATAATTAAAAAAACACAGAGTATACATATATATCCCATATAATACCCCATAACAATTTCACAAGAAAAGCCCATCCTCCTATTCGTCAAAATTCATGTTTAAGCAGAAGACTTGGTTTTCAAGCGGTACAAGAGTTTCTTCTTCTTGGAGCTTGCATTGTCAATGGTGAGAACCACTTTCCCAGGCTCACCAATCTCAAAACTATTGCAAAGCACTGGTTCTTCTGATGAAGCCACTTTTCTAGCCTTCTGAATAATCACTGTATAGCTTCCTTCAGCACTTGGCACGAACTCTGCTCCATAGCTTACATCCCAACCTATCACTCTCAGCTCCCAAGACAGAAGGCATTTCTGCAAGTTCTCCAAAACAAAAAGTTCCAATTAATAATTACAGAAACGAACAAAGATAAACAGGTTGGATGCCCAACTCCTTTGTTAAATCAACATCAACGACCTCACTTTGATATTAGAATATTTGATAAAGTTCATATTCAACTCACTTTGTTTATATCAACCGAGCCAATCAATTTATCAGAAAGCTAGGACTGCTTTGGCTCTTAGCTATGTCAAGAACTAAATGAAATAAATCCGGCGATGCCGAACACATATGGCCCCAGAAACGACAAAATGAAGCTCCGGCTTTATAGTTTATATGTTTATTTATTTAATTCTCAGAGCATAGTTTTGCACAGTATGTTGGTTAGAGCATGTGAAATAAATAAAAGGGTCAATCAGAAAACATGTCTCTTGCGAACAGAGGAATCCTAAGAAAGGTCCCATTTCGATGCGGCAATGCATTGGATTCCCAAAAAATCAAACCATGACGATAAAATCGAAACCCACCTCATTGACCGGAAATTCTACGGTATGCTTTGCTGCTGGCCTAACCGTAACTTCAGTGACAGCATCACTATTGCCGAATTCTCCATCTTTGCTTAGTCCTCCATACTTCACGGGAAGCTGCTCTGGAGCTATGTATCTGAACAAGTCCAGGGAGCAAATTGAGTTGAAATCTCTACACAATCTACGCCAAAGAAACAAGTAAACAAATTTTAAACCTTTGAAACATTACCTCAAAAGGGTCTCTGCAGATTTGGAAGGCCCTGCAAATACAAACTTGCTCTTGGTTCTCTGAGTGAGAAAAGGGCTTATCATCCTGTTCACTGCCAGATACCACCATGGCACATTGATGAATATCTGCGCCATAATAGATTTTGAGATCAAGCTACTCACTCAATAACGATTGAAAATAAGAACCGATAAATGCAGGAGCAATTCAAAAGGAATACCTGTTTGGCTACGAATTCAGGATAGTTGTCTTGAAGCAAATGGAGGGCCTGTTTGGTGGCTTGTCTAAGTTCCCACTTACCAGGTCCGGGAGAATTCTTCAGATCATTAATCTGCACAATGGTGGATACACCACCAGGAGCGAAATCCAATTTGCGAATACTCCTTTCCAGAAACTGAATTCTCCATCTCAGGAAGTTGAGCCTCCTCCCCTCATCGGAAAACGCTTTCTTGTAAAGTTCCTTGTTTTGGAATTCCCCATAGACATTGTAACACACGGGGTGGCCTTCCTTATCGAACCCATGCATGAATACCGCCTTCTCCAAATCATCACTCAAGTTTTCTTCCATCAATTTGTCGATTCCGAATTCTTTCCTCCAGAGAATTGTGTTCTTGATCATGGTGAAAGCATCTTTCACTTTGAAATCCCTTGCTCGCAGGAATTTCAATAGAATAACATCGCTCCTCTCATCAACAAGCAGAGGTATCCCCCAAACGGATACTTCTTCCGGCGGAGGTGGCGGAGGAGTTTCGTCACTGGTTTCCTTAGTTTCTGCCTCCGCCGGTGGAGGAACGGCTGCGCCCTCAGACTCTTTGGCTGCCTGTGTCTCCTCAGCCGGAACAGCGGAAGACACCGCCACCACGCTCTCTTCAATGGCTTCCACGGTTTTAGCTCCGTCGTCATCGACAGCAGGAGCTGCCGCTTTGTCATCAACAGCCTCAACGACCACCGTGGATTCTCCAACCTCCTGCGACGCGGCTTCCTCCTTGTCTTCTTGTTGGTCCTCTGTTTTAGTGGGGTCCGCAGTTTCTGCAGGCTTTTCCTGAACGGGTTCTTCCGTCTTCTTGTCATCGTCCTTCAGAGGAGGACCAGGCGCCGACTTGTCTTCCTTAGGAGGCGAAGGTGGGTCGGGAGGGGCAGAGAATTCGTGCTTGTTAAGAGCATCTTGGACGAGTTGTTTGAACTCTTGAAGGGCTTTCTTCTCGTGATCAGAAAGGTCAGCAACTCTGGTGCTCTCCTCCTTAAACGAACCAGAATCGGGCATTTGGTCCTCACCTTCACCTCCGGGCTTAGTAGACACGTCAGTTTCAGCAGTCTCCTCAACAGGCTTCAATGGCTCGGCGTCGGGAACAGATTGGGGATCCTTATCGACAGGTTTCTCAGGCTGAGGAACATCCTTAAGCACCACTTCTTGGACCTGCGCAGATGCCTCTTGAGGAGGAGGAGCAGCAGCAGCAGTCTTAGGAGCATCGTCAGCCATGGTTGGTGATGGAGTATGACAGCAAAAAGAACTAGAGATGCCTCCGGGAAGGGACAAAAGCGGAAAGAAGGAGAAGGAGGAGAAGATGAATTGACAAAGAAGGGGGTGGGGGTGCGGGGAGTTATAGGAGAGGAGAGGCGAGGGTGTTGGCGATGGGCGATGGGCAATGAGCAATGAGGGAAATAAAAGGAAGGAGTAGGGCCACGATGAGTAACGGGCCAGCTTGGAATTATGAGGAATGTGGCAGTACGTGGGACCCGCGTTTCCAGCCAGCGTCATTAGGCCTTCCTTCCTCATTCTCGAACGCCGTTATTTCCATTAATCATCGGCGCTTTTGCCGGCCTCATCATTTCTCCTCGAACATTAACACCCCGCATTAGCCCTGGCATCCCCCCACCTTCACCCCTTTACTGGGCCCCCTTCCCTGCCCCCCCAACCCATTTTTTATTTGCAAAATTACAGACAACTTTCATTAAAAATTTTAAACTTTTGAGGAAGACTTTAAATCACAATATTCTGTCTAAAAAATTATTTAAGTATTAAATATCATAAAAATTCGAAAATTGAGGAACTTGGGTGAGGGGTAAAAATGGGAGTTCACAAAACGCCATAAGAACATTTAAAACCAGAAGAGAGTACACGCAAGAACGTTAAGGCTTTTGATTCGTGGAAGGGACAGTGACCTCGGATGCCCAACCAATTGCTTCTCTTTTTCCTCGTGAGACTGCCATTGTCTAGCTGTGTCTGCCATTCGCATTTTTAGCATTTTAGACCGTTAAAACAGTTTCTCCTCAGGCCCACCCCCACCCTTGACGTGTGCCCAGCTCTGACCGTTTCAGACGTGGGCCCCCCACACCTGTTGGGCTCTCATTTTCATGGCGCAACCTTATTTTTATTCCGACGGGTTGGCAAGGGTGTCTGTTGGGCCTATTGTTTTAGGTCCAAACTCAATCGGACTAATTTTGTGTTTAGGGCCCAACTGGATAAGGGCAGACCAGACATCCGCCGTGAGGTCCGTTCAAAGGGGTGGCTTTGCTGGCAAAATGAACGTCATGTCGCGTGGACCTGTCGGGTGCTTCAAACTCCGCCGATTTCGACATTTGATGATTCCATTTCCTCTCTCGTCTCTTTCTCTTTTCCCTTATTTGTCAAAACCTTAATCAGTGCCTTATTAGTTATTATTACCCAAATTGACTAATCACACCCCCAACCCTAATTTTTATTTGTAAGGTCAAGATTAGCTTGCTTTTTAACCAAGATTATGGCTTCTTCAAGTGGTAACTCTGAAACGTAAACACAACGGCGGTGCATTGTGCTGGACATGCCAGAAATGGAAGTAAATGAGGATAAGAGGGGAGTGAAGTGGAGTGGGGATGGGGGAAAGAAGGGAGCAGGGAATGGGATTATGTGGACACCGAGTATTGACAGAAGCCACATGAGTCGGATCACCCGACAACTTTTGACATTTGCAGCTTTGATTGGATAATTCATTTCAAGGGCATTCCATTTTTTGATTTGTTTTTGAGGGTTGGGGGGGGGGCTTCAATTATTGGAGGCCAGGTCATGAGCCATACCCACCATGCTACTTCAGGCAATAAAAGTGAGGTCCAATTTGCCGGTCAATATTTTTTTATTAATATTCCTTCGCATCCAAGTTATTCTTCTTTCTCTTTTCCCCAATCTATTTCTTACGTTGCTTTTAATACTCACTGGTTACCGTGTGTCTTCAATGTCTTGGTCTTGTCGAATACAGTTTTTAAAATAAAACTGTAAAAAGAGAAAAGACTAGATTTTTTGGCTCCCCATCATATGTATATCAGGAGTGGAGGTTGATGTGATATGCCGATTACAGTACATGGGCCTGCAATTTCCATATGGGGTTGAAGCTTTGGACAAATGTAGGCAAAAACAAGACAGAGAAAAAAAAAGGAGAAGGGAGTTAAAAGCGAAGGATATACCTTGTCAAAAGGGCAATCACGAAGTCAATGCGAGACCTTTGAGTTCCCCTATCACTCCGGCGTTTTTAGAGATCCAATGACAATCCATCTCAATGCCAAACCTCAACACAAAACCAAAAACGAAATTGCCATCCCCAAGTAACGCAGGAAGGAACTCAGTGGATTCAAGCTGGTCCAGCCTCCTCATGCATCGTTGTTATTCTCCTTCTCCTACTTTTCCTTTATGCAATTTTCTAATCCTTTCTCTCTCCTCACTCCCACGTGCTCACTCTTCTTCCTCATTCCCTTGCACTATATCCCAAATTCCATCATAAATTCCCCGTTCGCTTTCTTTCTCTGTATCATACGACGCATTAGATTTAGCCCCGCCAAACTCCTCTCCTGATTTCGCAACGGACTTGATCCAATTCAGAGGAGGCCTCCATAATTGTTGTGATTGCTCCGCTTGAGGAGATACCGCAAGAGATTGGACGGTATGGATAAGTACGAGGAGGTGAAGGATTTGGGAGCTGGCAATTTCGGGGTGGCTAGGCTCATGAGGAACAAGGAGACCAAGGAGCTCGTCGCCATGAAATATATCGAGCGTGGTGGCAAGGTTTGTTATCATCATCTTCATCACTGTGTTTGACTGCTTGCCAGAAACTAATATAGTTTAACGAATCCATTAAGTGTCAGATTTATCGCGGTTATGTGTTGCATTTGACGTTTGGAACAACGAAGGACTTTTTGTATACTGACGATTCCTTGATGGGGGTGCTCTGGTTTGTGAAAACCAACCAAAAAAGTAAAAGGAGAAAGGAGCATTCTTTGACACATAAGTCTTATTTCGTGAAGAAAATTTAACAAATTTCGCTAATTTTAGCAATCAAGCAGTTCCCAGATTAAGGTGTTCATGATCACAATCCAATGTTGGCACTTGACGAATGAGCAAGTCCCTTTCTCGGGATATGTGATTCTAAATAGTTTCTTTTTTTCAATCCCAGATTGATGAGAACGTGGCGAGAGAGATTATGAACCACAGGTCCCTTCGACACCCCAATATAATCCGATTCAAGGAGGCAAGAATTTTAGTTATTGTTGACTCGTTGAATCAATTATCATTCGGGTATAATGCTGACTTTTGGTACGCTTATTTCAATCGGATTTTTAATTTCAGGTCATTTTGACCCCCACACATTTAGCCATAGTAATGGAGTATGCAGCGGGGGGAGAACTATTTGAGAGGATATGCAATGCCGGCAGATTCAGCGAAGACGAGGTTGATAAGTTGACATACGCTCTCAGAATCTCTTCCTTTTGGTTTTACTATCTCATATTATTTTCGTTATCTCTCATGTTGTTTCTTTGACTATTCAGGCTAGATATTTCTTTCAGCAGCTGATATCTGGTGTCAATTTCTGTCACACCATGGTATTTAACTTATCTTCACTTCCCAAGTTTACAAAATAATAAAAACAAAAAACTATGGCCTCTTCTCGTAGCTTTCAGAAATGCTCAAAATGAGAACTCATCTTATTTCTACTCTTGTTCTGCAGCAAATATGCCACAGAGATTTAAAGCTTGAAAATACCCTTTTGGATGGAAGTCCGGCACCTCGCCTGAAAATTTGCGATTTTGGTTATTCCAAGGTATCGGGAATATTAATAAATATTCCATGGCTATACTGTGAGATGATACTCGTGTAGTGATAGTCTATAGTTAGTTGAGTGCTTTATTATTTGTGTTTAGTCATCTTTGTTGCATTCAAGACCCAAGTCTACGGTTGGAACCCCAGCTTATATAGCACCCGAAGTTCTTTCTAGGCGCGAATATGATGGCAAGGTAATAACATGTGCTCTCTATCTATCAATAATTTTCAGATTTCCTTTGCCTCTGCTCCATATATGCATTGAAATTTAACTAATCTTTCCAACCTGCTGAATATTACCAGTAGCTTTTAGGTGTTCCACGGTATTATCTATTAATCATTAGTGATTTCTTATATCTTGTATCAGTTGGCTGATGTGTGGTCATGTGGAGTGACTCTTTATGTGATGCTTGTTGGAGCATATCCCTTTGAGGACCAGGATGACCCAAGGAATTTCCGGAAAACGATCCAGGCGTGTATTTATCTTTTTCAGTGTCGCTTCTGGTTTTTTTTAATTTTTTTTCCTTTTTGGAACCTTTGTTTTTCCTCACGCCATTTGTATAACTCTGCTCCTGTTCTTTTCTTCAGCGAATAATGGCCGTTCAATACAAAATCCCAGATTATGTTCACATATCTCAAGATTGCAGGCACCTCCTCTCTCGCATTTTTGTGGCTAATCCATTGAGGGTATGTTACGATATTTTCTTATGCCAAGTGAATAAATATTGCCGATAATCTCAATATAGCTTCATTGTCACGTCGTTAGAAATTTTATGTATCGGTTGTGTTTATTATTGGTAGGCCTATGGGCGATAACTTGTGGATTATGAATTTAGAATGGAGTGACTGAGTGGTAGAGAAATGAGTATATGATTTACTTTTTGTATTTTATCCCTTCTTTATTTCATCAAAATGCGTCATAGTACATTTACTCTTCCGGTCCTTAATATAAGACCCATTTAACTAATTTGATTAGATTAAAGAAGTTAGGTAAGTTAGTTAATTATAAGAAATATGACATGCTTTTCTTAAAACACCATAATTATCTTTTTTAATACCTCATCTCCCTCTTCTACTTGATTATGGTTGAGGGTGTATCCATAGGGATAATTTAAAAAAAATTGATAAATATGATAAACGAGTCTTATATTTAGGACCAAAACCACGGTAAAGGCACTGGATCCATCCATATGAGCTTGTGGTTTCCACCAAGGAAGATGCTTTGGTGACATAAAATTGTTTGCATTTTGGAATGAGCGACTCACGAGTTTAAATGGAGCCAATTAACTGACACAGGCCACTCTCACTGTGGGTTTCAGAGAATAACAATCAAGGAAATTAAGATCCATCCATGGTTTCTGAAGAACCTACCAAGGGAGCTAACTGAGTCAGCGCAGGCTGTGTATTACCAGAGAGACAACCCAAGCTTTTATTCTCAGAGTGCGGAGGAAATAATGAGAATTGTTGGAGAGGCAAGAACCCCGCCTCCAGTATCCAGGCCTGTCAAAGGTTTTGGGTGGGAAGGCGAAGAAGAAGAGGAAGAAGAAGGAGCAGAAGAAGAGGTGGAAGAGGAGGAGGAAGAAGATGAAGAAGAAGATGAGTACGACAAGAGGGTGAAGGAGGTTCACGCAAGCGGAGAATTTCAAGTCAGTTGAGCCATACAATTCTGATGCACTCGTTCAATTGTATGCTAGTTAAGTTCGTATTTAGATGTATCATAATTCATGAAGACTTATAATATAAACGTGGGATATATACAAATAGGCTCAGTTCATGGCTGTATTCATCACGTAATGTGTACTTGGTTCGGCCATGGATTCCATGTTTGAGTTGTCTTATATTATGGTCAATATGTACTCCAATAGTATTGCTGTAGCAGATAGCCAATGTCCTTCATATTCTGCATCTCTGCTGGCGGGCTGGCTGGCTGGCTCCAACATTGAAAACAACAGAACAGAAATTGATTTGGGACCTGTGAAAAGGCATTGGCATTTGTGTAGATTGGTACCGTTTTGGCAGGGAGATCTCGGATTTTTAATTCAGCCTGCTTCTCTAATGCTTAAAAACCGTGCTTTGACCTGCCTTGTTTTTCAATGATTCCACTTGCTTTGCTCCTCAGCGGCAGTGATCTCTAAATCTGGCGCATAAACGAGAATAAGGGTGTGTTTGGATAGAAACCAAACCATGATTTCAGAAGTGTTTTTACGGATTACGAAGTAAATATGTAGAGGAGATTATCTCGTTTTGCGGAAAAGTGCTTCTGAAACCACGGTTTGGAGATACCCAAACAAGTCCTAAGTAAGAGAACGTGCTTTTGTTCCTACCAAAAAATTAAAAGAACGTGCTTTGAAAAAAAAATTATATTTTTTAAACAAAATCGTACAACTTGCTTTTTGAGAAACTAAATATCATATTCCTTCATTGTCATAAAATTCAATATTTGAACTTGTTATACTATTTTTTAAATAATATTAACCCATTTTATAGTGCAAATTACACTACAAAATAATTCTTATATTTAGAACCAGAAGAGTAATAATTATGCAATTGATAAAATTTTTTTACGTCTAAAGTTATTTATTATTTACTATAATAAAATTGTTGTTAACTATTCCTGCAAACAAAGATAACATGCACGTGATGTCACAGCCAGATGGCCGGATGATAACCCCGAGACCCGCATTATATGATATTCTCCACAGCTAAAAAATAATTACAAACTCGACTATAATTTTAAGGAATTTAACAAAAATTATAGGCAAGGAGGTAAAAAGATAATATGTGGCACCCTATAAACTATTAACGCAAAAAAAAAAAAAAACTGCCCACGAAGAAGTACAAATGGTAATGACACAAAACCCACGTTCCATACTTCCACGAACTCAAGGTTTGTTCTTCGTCTTTTTACTTCCCTTTCACACTGAACCCACGGAGCCTAAAACAGAAATCTTTAAAACTTCAAACCCCACTTTGAATGATAAAAAGGGATAAAATGAAGAAAAGCAGGGCCTTTTGTTCGTATATCAGTCACTGGAATCAAAGCTTCCGCCGTGTGAGTGACTGCCATTGCGACTGTGTATGGAGAGACCATCCATGTGGCCAGCCAAATTAGAACCATCCGCCTTGCTTTTCTGGAAAAATCTCTCCCTTTCCATGTGCTTTGCAGGTGGGGGAGGAATTGCAACACGAGAAGGCTCCCTATCGACATGATTTGCGTTTGGCAGTGAATTTACAGCTGGTGAAGATCGAATCTCAGCTTCTCGAGATGGCTCCACGGGGAGCGGTCTTATCAGCGGACGATTCAGTCTTTCCCCAAGCACACTCAAAGGAGGTAACTCGGATGAAGTCTGTTCATTTTCAGGCCTTGCACGAGCCTTTCCTTTGCGTAATCTTCTGGGTTTGATATAGAAATGAAGAAATATTCAAAATCCAGTGTTTGAAAGTGAATAATAACAGCGGATTTAAAGTGCAGGTAATGTACCTTCGGAATAACTGTTCGGTCTCCTCTTCCTCTTCCTCCTCGACTTCATGTTCAAAACGATTAGCAGTTGTCGTAGTAGCTCTGCCTGAAAGAAGGTCTTCATGCCTAGAAAGAACTTTCTGAAGTTGCTCGTTTAATTCAATTGCTTGAGAAACTATCCCTTCATCTCTACAGAAGCAAATGGGCATTACAATCCATCCGCTGAACTACTTTGAATCCAGAAAGGAGAAGACAGAAGAAATATATACGCCTAAAGCACAAAAAGGAAATTTAAAGCAGCCTCACCGAGAACTCATCACCAGATGCATGATCCTTTGCTTCTGAAATGAACATTGTTCCACAAGGTCAAGGGTGAACTCATCCCTTGCGCCCTAAAACGACAGAACATATTTTCAGATTCAGCGAACGGTGATGAGTCTTTATTCACATGACCCATAACATAGGCATAAAGAAGTATGTCATTGCAATTATGTCTTTATTTTAAATCAAGAAAAAATGTGTTCTTGGAATGCCCATTCTGGTTCCAGTAGCGTAGATTCTTAACATACCTCAGGATGCTGAGTATCAACAGCATCGAGGACTTCTTTTAGAACTTCCAATGCATTACCAGCCTTTTGAATAATGCTGCAAAAAACACGTGCATTATATTTCCGTTGCCAGAAAAAGATAAAGATGATAAGAACACAGTTTCGAGGTCATTTGTCCAGTCCACCATTTCACTAGACCCACATCAATCAATATCCATTTTACTTGACCTAAAACAATATCTCTGACTAATTCTTATCATTTGTCCACCCTGCCCTTGATAGAGAAACCATCAAATCAGAATAATATATTCGTTTACATACTTCCGCGGTTTCTTAACCAGATGCATCTTGTAACAATGTTATACATCTTCAGTGTATAGTGGAAAAATAATGAGAATAATATCCAATAGGGCTTCCAAAGATCCAGGGAAACATATGCGCAAAGTATATATAAATAAATAAAAGCAGAGTCACCTAGATTCAGGAACAGCCTGAGACTCAGCTTGCTGACCGATCCCTTCGACTCTAGGTGAGGCCTGCTCCCCATTCAGTGCATTATTAGTTGGGCTTGGTTGTGAAATGGGATGAGTTGATTGGACAACTTGAGCACCCTGAGAAAACTGCACCCCAGCACTCTGTAAAACATAAATAATTTAGTAAATGTGTTTAGCTTCAGCATTAGCATTTGAAGGATTTAGAACTAGAAGAATATACAAAAAAGAAAGCGCTCCCATTAAATTGCTTAGCAAAAAGCGAGGGTTGTCTATAATTTGGCCAAACAAGACATCTGTTATAACAGTTTCCCGCCCCCTGTGGGGGGGGGGGGTTGTGAACGTGTGTTCAGCATGGCAGCAGACCATCCGCAGGATTAAGGACAAACGAGCCACTATCAGTTGCCATCAGTATCGCCTCATTTTCAAAACCAGCACAACCTTAACAATAAAATATCATAAATAAAACTATAACAATTTTGATATCACTTGACTCACCATTATCATAATGCAGAGCATGTTGGAAATGCACTTTTTGACTTGGACTGATTTATGTGTGCTATGTCAGTTTCATCTATCTATAATTTCGTGACCAAAAAGACATCTACTATGATTTCATCCAGGAAAACAAAAATTTATATACACAATTTCTTTGATTTGAAGAGCCTCACTTATTTCTCGCCATCCTAGCTACCGCCTGATAATCAAATTCTAGGATCTACATCAACCCATAAGAATCCTAGAAATTTGTTTCACATATCTGTACCTACCACCAAGTCATAATATGCATGATAATACTGGGGAAACTTTCCAGAAGCACCACCAAGGGAAGTTTGTGTGGCATCTAGCAGGAGAAATATCCGCTCTCGTACTGGCAAATCTGACTGCAATTAAACAAAAAGGACAAAACCACCGTAAGGTTCTGAAAGATATTAAAATTACTGAAGGAACATAACCTGTTACAAAAAATTTTTTACCTTTTTCTTCACAATTTTCACAAGAATGGGAATAATTCCCGTATCAATCACTTGCTTATGCATATGATCTCCAATATTGTTCATCAACATCTCTAACAGCTAGAAAATTAATAAAGAAATGACTTAGTAAGAAACCATAGAGCAGGAAAGCATGCAACAAAAATGTTCACCAGGATACAGTCATGTAATTAAGATTCTCAGGTTCAGTTATAGAACCATGCGGCATTAAAATCTGGTTTTTCACTATGTTAGTGAATAGGCACACTGCTCAGAAAATCCAGATGAAAGCGTCTATGACAGCAAAACATAGGGACGTCGTCATACTTACCATGACTGCATAAAGTTGAGCATCAGGGTTTTTGCTACTCAGTCTCTTTTTGATAGCCTTAACAACATCTCTAGCTTGCCTTCATGTTCACAAACTATGCAATTAATAAAAGTGATACTGCTTTGACTATTCTGCCACATTAAAAAGTTTATCTATGTTCGTAATCTAGTGAAACACCAGCCAGGACCAAGCAGCAGGCAAGTTGAGGTAGTAAACAAAAACGTTGATGAACATAGTAGTATAAACTAAGTTAGGCACCAGATATCAGTTGTTTACCAACTTAACCAGAGGCTTCTACTTTAAGATTGTGTTCTGAGAAACAAACAAATTTAAGGAATATGTATTTGGATCCAAGAACTTGGCAACCATTGTGGCATACCATGATATAATGATCATTTGCAATGGCAAATATTATCGTTCAGTGATAAAAATGAGCAGTCCCAAGAAACATAATACAAAATACTAAAACATAATTTTTAGTTCGATGTGATACAGTTGGCAATAACTTCATTAACACACCAGTTATCCATTTCTCTTAGAAATTTTTTAAGACATTTAACAATCAGAAAGAAACAACACAACATTGCATTTACCTTTGATCTTGAGCAACTAATTCACAGATTTCAATATTTTTTATCCAATCAATTTCAGCCAGTTTCTCACTTGTTGCAGCGTTCACAAGCTCAGCTGCCATTTGTCTCCAGATAATCTAAAGATTGATAAATATGTTAAAAGTTACAAGATATTTTAGAAGAGGAAACCAACAGGAAACAAAATGGATTATGGATATTGTGCCTCAAGAAGCAAACTTGGATGGGTTATGACCTTCTGTTAAAGGGAGGCAAACAGAAATTATAGGAGTTTTTAGAAAAGAGTTATTACTTCACTTCATTAACAAACAATGCATATCAAACTATCACAGATCAAACCCAACCACCCCCCCCCCCCAAAAGAAAACCCAAGAATCTGTCATTGCAGACTACTTATCAGTTTAGTTGAGAGCCACTACCACCTAATTTTAGTTCGTATTTTGTCTTTCTGTGAACTGTGAAGTGAGAAGTGAAACTGGGGTGTTATATCACACAATTTGAATTCTTCTTTTGTCTTTTTGTGCAATCGCATATACACCAAGTTGCTGTTACAGAACCCTTCGTGATATGTAAAATTAAATCACGTTGCATCATGTAACAATTAACTTAAATTTACTACTGTAGAAAAGAAACTTACAGTTTGTGGCACACAGGTAGTGCTAAATCGAATGCCAGAATTCAATGTTAGCAACCAAAGAATGAAATATGGGGGAGTCACGAACTACCCTGCGACGAGCAAAATTTCAAGGCTAGATATTCAGCACTTCACAAAATTTCAAATGCCAATGCAGAGATGTGGGATCAAAGAAGATTAAGCAAAAATAACAATGAGGGACGAAGAAGTCAGTCAAATTCAATTTATATGACAAAAGATAGCGCGCTCAGTTCTGAGATGAAGATTATCTTGCAGTGTTCCGTACTTTCTTCCCTAGTAAGCAAGGATAAACATGTAGGTACCATAATCAACCCAATAAAAAATGTAAAACTGAACAGTGCTTTTAGACTGGAAAGGAGAAGAGACATTGATCTCAGATCTAAAGTAAGACATGTCAACAATCATAAATGAGCCATGATTCCAATGAGATATACGAGGTCAGGGGGCTAAATTCCTCAGAAACCAGAAGTTTCGTTCTTTGCAGGGAGATTTGATTTATGGCCAAATAAGTATCAGAAGCTTTGATAGAAGGAAATTTACTGTTAAAAGAAAAAAAGCGAAAACGAGAAATTACCTGCAAAGACGGATAAAACGACAGAGACCACAAGAAAGAAGCCGGAGATGCACTGATAAACCCCAAAGAGCTCCAGCATATCAACGGAGAAGTGCCAGTGGATGATCAAATGCTACCCAACCCCAATGAATTCTCTTGCCATATCTTGCTTTTCTTTTCTTTTTTCGGGGTTTGCTTTCAGGTTGCTTTTTCTTTTTTCTGAACTTTAACCTTTTTCGAGTATGGATTTCTTAATTGGGGAACCAAGTGCTTTTATTGTCAGAAACAGCTTGTTAGCTTGGAGAACTCAAGTAGACAGAGAAGAATACAGACTGCAGAGAGATAGTACAATTTTGATCAAATATAATACAAGAAATATATAATTGAAAACTTGGTTGGAGAGGAATCGTTGGGCGTTGCAGTTTACTTGTCAAGCAAATAGAAGAAGGGACACCGCCATGAGCAACGCGCAGTGAGGTGTTGCTGTGCTGTTCTACTCGCCAAAGCTTCTTTTCCAAGCTGAATCTGATATTTATTAGATCCATCCTCATTCCCATCGCACAATTCACTGTTCATCGCTATCCTTTTCAAACCTGCTGCAAACCGTGAGGGTTAAAGATTTTTAGCGCGTCTGAGGACAGATTACAGTCAAAAATTCATGCAGAGAATAAACTCCACCCCATGCTAGAAATAAATTTTTAGGCGGATCTATCTACGCATGCGATATACGGTGTAACTATAAGATTGTAGAGTAGGATACTACAATCTGTACAGTGTATACCGCTGCTGAAATATTTTTTTAAAAATATTTTTACTAATCCTATATTAGTTAAATTATTATTTGATAAAATTTTTATTTGTATAATCATTATAAGGACTATTTTAAAAAATAAATAAATAAATATGAGAGACAAAATGAATTAAAATTTTATATTTAAAATCAAATTAAATACCAGTTAGTTCTTATATTAGTGATTGAATTATGTTGATTGAGTAAGAATATAGAAATCTAAGTTGCAGGTGGTAATTACAATGAAGGAATTCAGGTCCAAGTTGAAAAATCTGCTTATATTACGTTTTTAGTGAGAAGTATAATCCATAATAAACACGTAAAAGGGTTCACTCACAGAAAATAAAAAAATTTTTTTCCGGTCTTAAATATAAAATCTTTATACACACTCGTATAAGAATTTTATATTTAAAATCAGAAGAATAATAAATAAATTGTCTGTCCAGGCCTTGGAGCTCACCGCACTACCGGGAAAAAATCAAACAAGGGAAGAAATTGACGGGTTATTCTTGCTTGGATCAAACACTGACAACTTGCTCGGCGACAAGGAAAGGGAAGAAAGAATGGGGCAAGCGGAGGAGTTCGAACCTTCCATGTGGAGAAGCTATCTATGCCATATTCTGTCATCTGTACCCACAATGGACACCCTGGCTTCTTCACGTGTTTCGTTATCCTTCTTCAGTTCTAAACAGTGTTTTGTTTTTGGGATATTTAGACAGAATCAAAACATAATTTTAAAAGTATTTTACACTCATATAAGAATTTTATATTTAAAATCAGAAGAATAATAAATAAATTGTCTGTCCAGGCCTTGGAGCCTCACCGCACTACCGGGAAAAAATCAAACAAGGGAAGAAATTGACGGGTTATTCTTGCTTGGATCAAACATTGACAACTTGCTCGGCCACAAGGGAAAGGGAAAGAAAGGATGGGGCAAGCGAGGAGTTCGAAACCTTCCATGCGGAGAAGCTATCTATGCCCCATAAGTCCGCAGCATATTCTGTCATCTGTACCACAAGGCACAATGACACCCTGGCTTCTTCACGTGTTTGGTCATTCTTCTTCAGTTCTAAACAGTGTTTGTTTTTTGGGATATCTAGACAGAAATCAAAACATAATTTTAAAAGTAATTTTACAGTATATGAAATAAATATTTAAAAAGATTTGTCTCGATTTAGAAAATATTTTTTAAAAATATTTTTGAGAGCTTCCAACACTTTTTATTCACACGAACAGTATCTTCCATTTCAATGTATTTACATGGCAGTTCTCATGTTTTTTAGGCTTGTTACTAGCGTCCGAATTAACAAGGCTATTTTAATAATTGAACTACAGGAATTAATTTCAAATGAGAACTCTGGGCCTGTAGTGATCTTTAAATGAAATTATCCCATATCAAATCTAAAAGTAGAATGTATTTACAAGTAATCTTTTAGCCCAAGCTAGTAGACACAGCTGATCAAAATATGGATAGAAGTTTGCTCTCCTCTCTCTCTCTCTCTATATATATTATATGCATGTACGTAGATGTTATGTGGATCTGGTACAATGAATCGATAATGATACACCTGTTCTTTTTTTCTAAAAGAAAAAGTGCACTTGAGATCCATGGGCTCAGCATGGGATCCATTAACGGCCTCCCCAGGGGCTTGGGTTAACCTTTTTTTTTGGGCTAAAATATAGATATCTTTTATTAAAATAATCCTATTCGAGACAATATTAGATACTAAATGTAGGTACCTTTTCTAGCAGGGATTCAAACCTTAGTTCACCATATTATGAGGGGTTAGCCTCTTCCGCTAAACTCAAACCCCACTGTTGGCCTGGGTTAACTTATGTTTGATTCGGAATTTCCTAAAAATATCCGTAGAAGGATGTAAAAGCCCCACAAAGCGGTGGAATTCGGCCGCTGTGTTTTGTATTTGAGCTGGGAGAGTGAGAGTATCAGATGTGCATTTATATAAAAACTCTGAGACACATGGATTACAACACGCGCCAATAGAAATTAAACAGTAAGCACACACTACATGAACCTCCCATATCTATGAAAACTCCATGCAACCTATAAGACCCTTTTTTTTCATGAAGGCATTTTTTTATTGGATGCAATCTTATTAAAAACACTATCAAGTATTATATGTAGACACTTCTCTCATCAAGAGTCCAACCCTTAGCTTCCTCACTATAATTTGTAAAACATCAATCTTTTTTATTAGATCCAACCTGTCTTTGTTTTAAGAAGGCATATCCATGGCCTCGGGCCCTCGGCCTTGGCATTCCATGCGGAAGAGCACTTTTAGCTTGGTCCGGGCTTGGACCGGATCCACATTAAATGAAACATGATCATATTTGGGTACCACAGAGGTGACAGCTACCAATGGAAGCGGCTATGGCTCAGATTTCAGTAGAGGCTAGCATGAACGTGCTAGCAAAAGAAATCTCCAAAAGAGGGGGGGAAAAATTTAAAGACAGTGACGTTGATAGTCGCCTAAAGTTAAAGTAACAATCAGTTCGGATATGTTTAGATTGGCATTAGACAAAACTGACTTCTAATTTAACTGATTTTTGTAATTAAAGTTAGAGTATATTTGGATAGGTGTTTTTAAAAAGTCAGTTGGAAAAGTTGAAATTGTTTATGATTAATAGAAAAGTTAGTTTAGTTGTCAAATGACTTAAAAGGTATGGACTTTATTGAATAATAGTTTTTGAAATTTTATGTTTTTAATGTGATAATAGTTTAAAAAACACGTAAAATTATTATGATAAAATATAAATAGTTTATTTGTGAAATTATAAAATAAAAATATTTTTATGAAAAAAATTTTGAAAATACATTGTAGATAATTAATTAAATATATATAATGGACAAATATGAATATAAATTAAATTCATTTGGTCTGAATAAAGTTATATACTAACGAAGGAGATGAGACAAGAGGAAAATGTAAAGGTAAATCTGGGATACTTATTTTTAATAATCACTATTTGAAACTACAATTTGAAAATTTAGATTTTTTTCTTCTTGCAGTCCAACTGAAGCTGAAAGCCATAAGTTGGTTAGAAAAGTAGCCAAACCAAACAACATTTTTGTCTAACTCGGTTTGCAACCTCAATTTTACAAATTCCAAAACAACAAACTGCAGTCCAAACATACTCTTAAGTGTGCCGCCTCCAGCCACTATGAACACAAATTCAATTCAAGGGCCCTCCTTCCCCTTCCAAACACGTTCTCGGTTTCTCCCAACTCAGCTCACCCTCTTCTACTTCCTTCTACGTCCCCTCCATATTTACTATTTACGTCAGATTTTCTTTTTATTTTCATAAAAAAATATTTTATGAAGTAAACTTCTGCCTTTTTTAACTGTAGTTCTGAGTTATTAAAGCCAAATGTTCATGGTTTAGATTTATTTATTTATTATTTGATACGAATACGATAGGTAGCCATTTTTCATCATCTGAATACTTTCTTTTTTTTCACTAAGCATGTGTACATTTATATTAAAAATAAAAGTGCTGTTAGGTGCTAAATGTAGAAGAATTCATATTTTTATTCATCCTGTTTTCTTGTGTAAATTCAATACTTTCATATTTAGTGAATTTTACCAGATAAAGTTTAATTTCGTTTGTTTTGTTGGCCAGGCCTTCATACCCAACTGTCGTCCTTTGGATTTAAAAAGGACAAACATCTGCCCAAAAAAAAGACAAA